GTCCCGTTTTGCGTTATTTGACGGATTTTTCTGGTCTTTTCGCCACCGGCGTGCCACTGAGCACCACCTCGTCTCCTCTAAATCTTTGTAGAACTATCGTGATCGCTTTAAAGGGGGTCGCTTCACTCGAACTTACAACTTGTTAGTTTGTTATCAAATCTGATCGTTGTAAGGTCAAACCTCATAGCCATGTGGGCATTACACTACACATTGCTTAGGAGAACGTCTTTTTTAGCCTTTATGCTTTTTGTAGAAGCTCATGTATCATGTGCATGGCATGTGTATCTTTAGAACATCTCAAAGTTAAATTCATAGGCTCTCCTACAGTCATTTAGTGATGTCTTTTTTGTTTTGGTTGTTTCCCTATTCTATACAGTGGTCGTGATTTTCAGTCAAGCCTCGTCATCGCATCATGTATCACAAAGGGAAGGCTGATGCTCACCATCACGAGGTATTTTTTCTTTCACCAGTTTACTATTGTAGCTGTACAGTCTGATGCCCGGCTCGGTGGTCTTTTTTAGAGTTAACCACGTTTTGAATATAAGTTTTCTTCGATAGTTGTACACTCGCAAGTGACAAGGCTAATTTTGGTCCAGATTTGGCATTATGCTATTCCTCCATGGAGAGGAGTGTCCCTTCTCCTCCATGCTATCCTTGCACACTTGTGTACTTTTCAAAGAAGTAGCGGTTCTGCACCTAAGGGCCTGCTGTTGTATGTTTTGTCCAAGCTATCCGTTGAAACATCAATAGAGCGCTGAGAAAGGTCAATGGGAAAGCGCTCGGCATTGATCAGCTCATTTACAGTATGGTCACTCAGTAGTCGGAAACGCTTCTCTTGATGCGTGTTTCGTGGTACGAATTAACTTACCTTGAAGGTGAAGGTGACTTGACGGGGTATGACTACTTGGGAGTCTGTGGTAGCGGCCGCACATGTCACTTCACCCACACACATAGATAGATAGCATTTACCGTTTCCTCTCTCCCTCCAAAAGTCTATTGAATACTCTCTCAGATTACCTCAGTTGGTTATGATGGTGGTTTGAGTTGGTCATGGTAATTTAAATTGTTACCATAACACGTTCCTCAACTGACCACCGTAGTGCGTGTATTTCCGCATCTTTTTAGTACTTAGTATTTTTTATTACTTTTTTTGTCGAAAACCAACACGGTGTCTTAGGTGTGTCATTATGATTATGTTGCCTTCGGTCCGAAAATATGTGCCAATAAGTTGGTCTTGAAAAAGTTATATAGACCAAATTGTTCTCTATATACCGCGTATTTTCCATGGTGCTGCATATAATCCAAGGCATCGGGTGTATTGGGCATTAATCACATTTTGTCCGGTTTCCAC